CCCCCCCCTTCCCTACACCTTTCTCCATTTCATTATCTCTCCTCATCTCAAGGACTCTTCCATCCCTGAGGGGAGTCTCTGGCTGCTTCTCTAATCTGTCCTTTAGCAAATCCTGCGTCCTGTTCTCTCCTCGTTGTCGCTCAAGTAGCCCTTTTGTTTTCAGAGGAAGTTCATGATATCAGAAACAAGTGAATGGACCCATTTCTTATGCCCAAACTGGGAAAACTTAATGGGAACCTTATGTTGCTATGACTGCCTTTTTTTCATCACCATGACTAGATGTCCACATGGTTTTGATTGTCTATTGCAGTCTACGTTTGGTTATTAAAATATATAGAAGCACCAGACAAATGTGAGGTCAGAGGAACACATTTTCTGCAAAAAGACTGTCCCGAAAAGGTAGTTTTTACATTCTCATGTGTTCAACTTTGCTTCTGTTCTGAAGTTTTTGTGGATACATTCCCTGCTGGCATATATCTGCATGCTTAAACACACCCCAGCATTCTATGTCATGTTTCCTCTCAATCTTCAGCCATTGTCACTCTTGTCAGATTTTTCCGTACACCCACCTAGTCTCGACTCGCTGCCTGTATTTTCCTCCATCACGCTGCCTTTGAATTTATAATTTTGTCTCCTCAAATGTTGTTTTTATATCTCAACCTTCATCTTCCCCATCTCCTGGCTTCATGTGACACCACAGGCTCCCAGTGCAGGTACAGCAGCATTCAGCCCTGCTGTTCTTCTGTCTCAATGAGTTAACATCAAACACTGACAGACCACAATCCCCCAACCCCCCTCTCACCCCAAGCCTCCCTAACTTGTCTTTCGCTCTCAACGCTCCCCTCTTCTCTTCATTTCTCCTTCTGCTCTTCATCTCGCTACATCTTCCTTTCCCCTTTCAGCCTCGCTGCCCCTTTCTTTCATATCCCTCTGCCCTTTTCCTCATAACCTCTGGATCTTTCCCTAGAGCCTCTCTTTGGTCACCATGGCGATGACATGAAAAACCAATACCAGTGCCTTGTTGTGTGAAGGTTAAATGTTCTTCTTTTTTTTTTTTTCTCTGAGCCTTTGACTATCAAATCTCCCAACTTTGGTCTTTTTTTTCTATATTGCATGAAGGAAAAGACTTTGCATAGTGTTGGGATTGATCACAAAATGTTACTTGTTGGAGCTATTTATTCTTTATTTATTTATTCATTTGAATTTTGTTAGTTAATTCTTTAATGTATATTTTTGGTATTATTTACAGTATTTATTTGCAGGTTAATAATTGTTGATTCTATTTAATTTCTTGTCTTATTATTTTTCTTAGTCCTTCTTTGAGTTAGACAGGAAGTCATGTGGGTCAGTCCACTTTTCTATAAGTATAGGGACCTGGTAAAGGACCAGCAAGGCATTTGGGTTTGGGGCCTATGGTTTTTACCAGAGCAAGAGAACAGAGCAAAGGAACAGAGCAAAGGAACAGAGCAAAGGAACAGAGCAAAGGAACAGAGCAAAGGAACAGAGCAAAGGAACAGAGCAAAGGAACAGAGCAAAGGAACAGAGCAAGAGAACAGAGTAAGATTGACAGAATGAGAACAAAGGAAAGTTTGAACTCTTTAATTGTTGCTAGAAAGAACAAATAAACCTTCAAGAATAATCAACAAGTTTGGATGTTAAATCTTCTTTGACCTGCGTACAGAAACTGGACCCCAGTGCCTCTTAGTGGCTTGAGGAACTTTTATTGGATGTTTGGTTTGACAAACAATCGCCACTACATTACTCTTTTATTTGATTGGGGTCAAGTTGAACATAACACATCAGGCCAGTATTTGAATGTTTGAATGTGCATCGTTCTACACCAGAACTGCAGCGTTGCCCGGGAGGAGGCCGGACGCGGGGAGGAGTCCAGCTCTACGACACTCCGTATGAAGACGAGCGAGGCCAACGTCTGGGTTACGTGTACGGAGAAATTGTGGACGAGGCCAAGGAGAGCAGCCGGCTGCCGCAAGACGACGAGAGACCGGCCGACGAGTACGACCAACCCTGGGAATGGAAGAAGGATCACATCTCCAAAGCTTTTGCTGGTAAATAAGTCACAAAAGAACACACGACAATTACAAAACGTCTCATTTTTGGCTGATTTCTTAAAAACAAAACATTTAATCTCTGCCAGCTACTGACAACAGCCTCTACACCCACTAAGCTTCAACCTGAATTACAAGTAGAATCTTCCCAGCTACACTTTTCGCATGAAATTAACCAGAAGTGTGACAGAAGATGGGTTAACACCAGATCCTGTGTAAAGGTCAAAGCCCTTCTCGGACCACACAGACATCCCTGTTGTTGATACTACACGCCAAGAAGTAATCATCCAACCGTCTTACCCTTTAATATAGTGTCTGCCCTCCATTGTTCCATTTTCAAAGAGCTTTAGATATCTCTATTTGTACATTTAAACAACCTTCTGCAGAGTATTAACTGACTCATTCACCACAAAAGATGAATAGATTAAAAGAAGGGACATTTTATGTATCTTTATGTCTGCAAAGGGGTATCAAATTAAATTGTTCTGACTTTTAAAGCAATTTTGGTGCATAATTATGATTTTTTTAAGGTTGAATTTGTAGTGCTTATCGGATCCTGGTGTTTGATTGGCTGAATATATCCAAAGGGGAGACTGATGTGAAAATAAAAGAAACAGAAGGATAGGATACTGATAAATCATTTAGGAGTGGATCAGTGTGAGGCGCGCCGGCTCAAGTCGGCTTAATTGAGCCACATCTCTGTGTCATCAAGGTCAAGGTGACGGGATAATAAATCAACCTTGGCTCATCCTCACTCCCCTCCATTCCCACTCTCATCCCCTCAGTTGATTACATGCCCACATGCGTGCGACTGATCCACCGTTAATGAGAGAGTCACGGTCAGTAAGGCATTGTCTGAATATCCTCGCGCACAAATCCATTCGCGTCGTGTTCGTGCTGGAAAAGAGGGTCCCATAACTCACTGGAAGTGGAGAAAATCAAGGCTTTTTCGTGGAAAAAAGCACCCCCTCTCACCTACTTTGCCCTTATTCTCGCTCTGTTCGTCTTTTTGTTTTTTCTTTGTGCCACATACGCGGTGCACTGCTTGAGGGGGTGCTAACACATGCTTGCCAACTCTACCGATTCACGCGGGAGACCCGCAATTTTTTTTAACCCTCTAATTCTTTAGCAATTCAATCGTTTCTCCCGATTGTTGCAGAAACGAGTAAAATTGTGCGGGATTCGCTGCATCTGTCAACCCTGGCCTTCCCAAGCCAGTGACGTGATTCGCTAGAGGCGGTGATATGCCATGTAGCGTTGATCTTGCCGGAAAAATGATAAGACGAAGAGGAGCATGTCGCTAACCCCAACCAGGGCTTTACTGAACCCAACCGAAGGTTCTATCAAGGGAACAAATTAAAAATACAAAAACATTAAACCAAACAGGAGCCCATACAAAGGTTGTGAGGAATAGAAAAAGGGAAAAGGGAGACCTAGAATGAAGTCCTAGTCCAGATGTCATGAGTTCAGTCCTGGTTGCCATGGTGATCTTTGAAGAACAATTAAAAAGCAATTTAGACATTGATGACTCAATAAAGCCCGCAAACCTCCAATCCAGGGTAGCTACTCAGCTTTAGTTTTCGACAGAGGTATTGGGATTTAGCCTTCTGGTACTCAATATAACAATTAAAACGGCTAATTTTTTTATTGTCCTCAATGGTAACCAGAAACAGTCATTGAATGTCAAAGAAAGAAGCATTTTCAGAAGAATGTTCCTTCATCAGGTTTCAAACAAAAGGCAAGAGATGACAATCATTTATACACACACCTGGTGAAGGAACCTTGTTCCGTGGGCCGATACCCTATTTTCGCACAATCCAATCTTGGCATGTACTGTATCCTCATTCTTGTCAGGGAGGTGGATCTTGGAGGGAGGACTCAGTCGCGGAAGTGCGTGAAAACAGGGTTTATTGTAACAAAAGCACTCAAACAGAGTGGATGAAGACCAGGAACAAAACAAGGCTGTGACAAAAGCTATGATCAAAGTATCAAAGAAAGAGTAAACAAGGCTATGGCAAGATTTACAAAACTGTGGTAAAACATGGCTATGACAAAAAAACATGGCTATGGTACAAAACAAGACTATGGCAGTAAAGTAAACTGGGCTGTGACAAAATCAAACCTGACGTGGGGGTGACGAAAACAGACAGACGAAAACGCACTCGCACGGGACATGGGAAACGAGGACTATTTAAACACATGAGGGAGGGGAACCCCAGGTGTACGCAATAGGTAATCAACACATGACGAGCCACCAGACATCCCCCCAGACGTGACAATTCGAGCTCGCATTGGAAGAGGGCACATGGGTAGTCCGGGTTTTTTTTTCCCATGTTACATTTGAGCTGGCACGCCGTTCGTATGGTCGCACCGAGGCGCTGAAGTTTAAACATACAAACAGTATTTTCCATTCTCGTTTAATCCGTATTCCCAGACCCCCTTTGAGCGTTTCTAGGCTGTTGGAGAGCACAGAAAGAGCGAGGTGGAAGAGCTGGAGAAAGAGAGACAACAAGGAGGTTTGAGCCTGAGGAAGACAGACAGTGCTACAAAATGGATAGAGGCGGTGGGAGAGAGAAAGGGATGTCCGAGGTTACGTGACGTTGGATGGCAGCTCAATGGCTGGTTGTGGAGGGTCGGTTTCTAGGTGGGGAGTTGTGAGGAGTATTAATGGTCTGGAGCTGTTTGGAGGTGAGGCAAGCGGAAGGTTCAGGGCCGAAGTGTCGGGGCGCAATCAGTCATCCTCTAACGCTCTTTCGCACTTATGCTAGGCAACACTGCAGCGGTGACAGGTCTGTGCCCACATCCCACCCCCTCCCAACCCCCCCGATGTGACACACTCACTCAGACAACCTGCCACGGAGGATAGAAAAAAAAAAAACAGGGGGCCTCGCGAACTGCTTCGCACCACCTCATCGTCACCTCCTCGCAGGCGCATGTAGACAGGCGTCGTACTCTGGTTTTTAACCTCCCATTATCAGCAAGTATCAGCCTAATTCAAGGGTGAGAGGAGGTCGTGCGTACTCCGGCACAAATGACAGTGTTAAAGAGGAAGATGGAGGGGGGGGAGGCTTGTTAAGGGGGGTTGTGGATTTGTGTGCGCCTCAGAATCTTTTCGATTATGTTTTTTTTTGCCTTTTATTACCACAATTATCTGTTGTAGGTTCTTATGGTCCTTATTGAAGCTTGTCAGACTCCCTCGTATCAAAACACTCCAAAAAATAAATCCACGAGTCCACTTCTTGCTTTTAACGATTTACTTGAAAACTTAACGCAACATTACAAAAAAACATAAAATACATCCACTAAATGAAGTCTTTCAAAGCCCAACTGAGCCTGGGAAGGGCAAGGTCAATAAACTATTGTGCTCCAATCTCCTTCTGATTCCAACTGACCACGCTCCCCTGGCATTAAGACAAATCACCTGATGAAACGTTTTTAAATGTCACAATAAAAGTCATATCTTACACACAATATCAATGAACTGTACACATGTAAATAACCATTTTCAATCCTTTGAAATCCTTTTGAATCATGAAATCACAAACAATATTTATCTTACTTATGAATTTGCATATTAAAAAAAAGATCTAACTTAAATAAAGGTTTTTAAATGTCACAATAAAAGTAATATCTTACTCACACAATATCAATAAACTGTACACATGTAAATAGCCATTTTCAATCCTTTTAAATCCTTTTGAATCATGAAATCGCAAACAATATTTATCTTACTTATGATTGTGCATATTTTTAAATAAATCAAATTTAAATAAACTGCATTTAAGCTCGGAAATCTGTGATCGTGTGGCAAGCAATCTGCAGATACTTTTGTTTTCTGAAGCCTTTTACAATTAGACGCTCGGTCCACTTCAGTCCTAACCAGTCGTGTGGCGGAGGAGGTGGATAAGACAAGTCCGTATCTCAGCCCAGAAGGTTTTTTTTATTTCAAAGGAAAGCTGTCACCAGTCGCGCCATCTAGCTGGAATTACATCAGTCATTAATTCCCGGCGGTTAATAGACGGTCCAACCGTGAGAGATGGGTCCTGCAGCCATTCTGCTCTAATGCAGAGCTAATGAGAAGCACCGTCTTATTAGCTCCCCGGTGGCCACTCCTAATGAACAAACGAGTGTTGCAGGCATTTGCGTGCATTTAAATTTGATAGTCCAGAACAGAATGTTTAAGCTGTTTGGGGGGTTTTTAATGGCCGCGTGAAGGCTGTAGGACTGGAGTGTCTGTTGAGAGAGCCGCAAATCACCCCCGCCATCTCGATGGGGTTGGTGGATTAAAAAACATTGCCACTCCCAGCAGTTTTTTTTATTAAATGGGCTATGAGCAAAGTGCTCACCCTCCACTTGCTCCCGTGTAGCAGCTCATTAGGCAATACCGTGCCAGAGAAGCTTCATGTGAGGAACATATCCATGCTAATAGCAAGTTTGAGAGGGTTAAGTATTTTACCGTTTAAGAGCATATTACTCTCTCACTCCTGACTAAATTATACTTTCAGTTGTATTCTGAAGACTGGTTTAACATGTTAATGGATTGCAGTGGTGAAGTTGTTGTTAAGTAAACATGCACTGTAACAAAGTATTTTAAAACAATTCGAAAAAATGTAAAACCATGCTTTTTCCTTGCTTTTTCTGTGTAGGACATGGTCTTTGTGTACACTGTGGGCTACATAAGACATCCTATTCTTTCACTATTGACCTAATGTAGCAATTTGTTGTAGTTTTTTTGTGCTTATCCTTGATTAAGAGGACACCGAAACCAGTTGGTGTGCCTGAAAAGTCAGTCATTTGTCACTCTGAGCAAATGTTCCCCTCGGAGCAACAAAGAAAGAAAAAAGCCAGTCTGGTCATTCCCAGCCGTTCAGATCATTTCTGATAATTGTTGGCAGATGGCTAAGGCACCAGGCACGTGAGATTTCGGCTCGCCGTAAATTGCTGTCACCTGTTTCATCTGTTGGGATAAAAATAGGAAAAACACACGTAATTGTTAACAAAATTCAAGCTGTAGTTCAGTGTGAGCAATCCTTTGTCTGTACAACCCCAACCCTCACAGGCTTGGTCTAAAAGCAGGAGAAGTTTGAGGGTAGGTTTAAAATACTTGCTAAAAATGCAGTTGTTTTAGTGGTATTTCCATAAAAATAATCAAGATTAATAAAAATCAACTGCCGCTGGATCCAAATGCAAACAATCATTAATGAACCCTGCAGCAAAAAGGGCTTTGTACACTGTATTTTAAGAAGAATATAGAAATGCCGGTTATTGTGAAACACGTAGCAATATTTCTATTATGTATTCATGGGAAAACTGCAACTCAGAACACAAGGTACCTTGGTACGTGTCCTCAGACCAAGGTGACAATGAATAACATTAAACACGGGGAAAAGGAGAGGAGTTCAGAGCTCGCCTTCTTTTATGGCTGCTTTGGTTTTATGTTCATTTTAATGCGCAGTTCATCACTTGTTATCTCATGAATTAGGCATACCAGGCTCTTTATAACTATATAGAGAGGAGTATAAAGCAACAATGTTGATCCATGCAGACATTTGCTTGCGTGTTGCTTTCTTGTCCAATTTGTTGTGGATTGGGGTTAGGTTCAAACGCTGTAAGGTTATTTTGGTCATTGGCTCATTATGTCAACCAGTTAATGTGTTTATATGTGGATATTGCATTTATACATGAAAATAACACATTTAGTTAAAAAAGAAGTGGAAAGAAGACAAATTAATTTACTCCCACTCCCTATTCATACGTAAATCGTGTGGTTGGCACTTTAATTTGAGATTTGGTATATCATTTTATAAGCCCATATGGTTTTTACCTTGTATAAATCATGCATTTTCCTGTCAATACCACTTATGTCATTACATCATTGCAACAATATTTTACTTGCATATCATACATAATTATCCTATTCTACAATAGTATATATCCTTTTTGATTCAGAATACAATGACGTTTAGTGAGTCCATTAGGGTATTGGTGCAATTCCAGTTGTGTGTCTTTGTGCACCAAAAGTACAAGGTGCTATGTGAACCTACTGGCAGGGAGGAAATTCGAATACAAGCAGATAGCCATATCTTTGTCTGGGCATCTATGCCTTCTCCTGTTCGATATCCGTCAGCACCATACCTGTGGTCTGTTTAGCTTGTGTTCCTGAAACAGGTTATGGATTTTTATATATGGATATAATAACGGTAATCACCATGATAGCAACAACAGTAATAATAACAATGACAATCATAAATGTGTGTGCTTAGGTGCACCAGAGACGTTTGGTCACATCATTGTAATAATCACGTTCCATATTTATACTCATCATCTACTTTGTCTTAATATTATTGTAGAAATAAATCAGACTACTAAGTTATTACAGTAAATCAGTCACATGCAATAACCACCATGTTGTACATTAATCAAATACAATATCTGAATAGATATTATGTACTTATTTATAAAGACACTTTTAGTATAATAATAGATAATCTTCTAAGTAAATCTGTCTATATCATTGAGATTAACGGTACATAAGAACGATGACCTTCCTGACTTAAAACTATATTGACTTTTGTGATTGAATGGTCTTTTATCTAGAAACAACTCTAATTTTGCCTGTAACATTTTTTCCAAAATTTTGGAGAACTGAGCGAGAAGAGAGGCCGGTCTATAATTTGTAAAGATGTGCTTATTCCCATTTTTGGATGGTGTTAATACCTTTGCATTTATTTTTTTTTTGGAAATACTCCATTTTGAAATGTCAAGATGCATATATAAACTGAAAGTTTTGAGATACTATAAATTACTCTTTGACTAATCTCAAGTCTATATCATAACAATCAACTATTCTTATGTTTATTAACGATGCTTAGGACATACAGCAGAGAGGAACACTGTGTTTGTGTCCATTTTTATCCATGACACCTCTATTTTATCGCTTCCGACCTAGTCAGACAACCCCATTTGTTTATGTGAACAACGGCCACTCAAATGGTAAAGGAGGGGAATCTGGAAAGAGTTTTCTACTCTGGTTTCAGCATTCTATAATCTGAAATTCATCTCTAACTTTGATGGTCGGGCACGTTTTTAATCTGTGATACTTTGTTTTGGCTTCTCTCAGTTTTTGTCAACAATCCTTTCTTGGGCGGTTGTTCGTGTCACCCATTTCCTGCCTTTGTGCACTTCCCTCTTTTTTTCTTTTTTTGGGAGAAGCAGAGGTGTGAAATGCAATGCGGCGGTGAGCTGGCAGGCAGCAGAAAATGTGGCATAGGCGGTGTCTCAGGTGTGTTTCGCGTTCGTGTCTTCCGCTTTATTTTTGGCTCCGGCGGTGGCGCTGCCCCGCTACAGATGGGGCCATTGTGCTGGAACCCTTGCATCAATAATTCACCGGGGGGAGTCGGAGAAAGTGGCGAAGTGTGTCTGCCTGCTCAATAATTAAACGGAGAGGAAGAGAGGCATGTATGTACAGCCAGTGTCCCTCTCTAAGCGCCCCTTCCAGTCACCTTTGATGTTGCCGGCCTGGGGGGGTATTTGGATTTGTTAGCTCATTAAGACGTCACCCCTTTTTCCTTTTATTGGTTTTGTAATCCCCTTTTTGCAGCGGGCAGGAGCTGAATGTACATTCCTTTACTGGCACAGATACATAATATACCTGCATCAGTATCAGGGTGCACATAAAGAAGTTATGACTGTGGGCCCTGGTATGAAATAGGTCATTTTGAGCTCCGTTTCCCAGTGCATCTTCTGTTATTGTGGATATGACTGTCAAAGAAGTATTATTTTTGCCCTGCGGTGGGGTGCATGACATGAATTTTTTTTAACCTCCTCTGATACAAAGAGACGATTCATTAAAAGCGTAAAGTTCAGAAATAATCCAATCCTCTTCATCGCCCATTTCCATACCCATTCCTGTTTTATATTTGCCTGCTTTCATCATATCTCCTATGATATTATTGTAAGCATTTGGGGTTTTAACACGTAATTTATATGTTTTTCATGTATGTAAAGCAACAAGGATGTTGGAGATGGAATATATATGGAATAGATGGAATATATATAATTTTTTCTCATAACAGGAGGTAGATTTAACGGCATATTCCTGTCATCTCCACACAAACGGTGCTGTCTGACACCATGCAACGGGGCTTCCCTTTCTGTCATCTCACTTGCACTTTGCACTCTTTCCCCCCCTTCTGTTGAATGTCCTCCTCCGTGCTCCAGTTGCTCTTAATCGTCGCCGCTTCTCTCACCTGCCTCATCGCGCTTAACTCTGCAAAGAGCCCATCTGCTCTTTTTCTAGCACTCTTTTCTCTCACCTCCTCCTCCTCCTCCTCCCCCGCTCCGTCCCTCTATTAGAAATAAGGGAGTTGTCGGAGTTGCCCTGGCCTGCCCCAGTGGGACAGCTAGAAGAGGAGCCTCTGGGCAGAGGGCAAGGTAACCTGTCACCCCCCTTTTGTCCACACGATCACAGACTAAGACTCCATGACCCCTCTGTTGTCCGGCCACTGCCCCCCCCCACCCCTCAGACTGCACCGGCAACACCTGCAGCTGTTCCCGCCCGTAGCAACTGTCTAACCTCCCCAAGGAGGTTAAAACGGGGCCATAAGAAAAACAGAAAATACACAAATCCTTTGTTTGTTTTTTTGTTATTTACACGGAACAGAAGCGTCTTATTATCAGAGTCCAAAGCCCCAAAATAAACCCAAAATACAGATAAGTAAAAAGGTTAAACGGCAAAAGTCCAAAGGCTCCCGTAAGAAGGACATGTTGATGTCAGGGTACTTATGGCACAGCAGTAAATTCAGTTTGTCGGTCACCAAAGTGACGATTAAAACTCAAATGTCCAAGTGGACCTGGGATTGTTCTGTTACAGCACATCTGAAGCTGTTTTCAATATATGCTTTGTTAAATTACAAGAGGAAATATTTATTTTATTCATTTATTTATTTAATCAGGACAGTGCACATTAATGAACAATCTCACACAGATTGTAAATGAGCCAGATTCTAGCATAGTTGCTAATTCGCATCTGTCGTCCTGAGGCAGGAAGAGAAAACAACACAAAATCACATAATACAATATCAGTTAAAACAGAGAGACGCACGTTCAGACAATGACATTACAAAATTTAAATTAGTGATTGCATGACTGGGAACTTTTGAGAAACAGTTTAAGTTGCTTTTTAAATGTGTAAAAAGTGGGACCTTCCCTGGTGTTTGTTGGGAGGCTATTCCAGAAGTGACCCCCTCTGACCGATATAACGGTTTGTCCAAAGGTTGTTCTTCTGTGGGGGATTTCTAGGTCTCCTCTGGGGCTAATCCATTCAGAACTTTGTAAATTAAACAACTATTTTTATAATGAATAAAGTTTTCAAAACCGAGCATATTATATTTTTCCAAATTATTACACTGATGGAATGAAATAAGTAACATGCCTCTCATAAAAAGTCCTCAATGATGGTAATGGTGAAGATTCCATTTGTTTTATCCATTGTTAAACAGTCAGAGACCCACTGATCGCGGTGTGGTGTGACTAACGTGACTCACTTTTTCTGACCCCGCTGGCCAACAGTCCAGTTCGACGGCTTAGAGTGGGATCACTCGACTTCGCCCGCCGAGCGCCTGCGTCCTCCCGGGCCCAGACTAAGCCCGCTGGCGGGAGGAGGGATGAAGTTCCGAGTGCTGCACGACGGCCCCGGCGTGGTCGGGGAGAGAGTGGACCCCGCCCTCCCTCTGGAGAAGCAGATGTATGTATGACGAGAGCTCAACATTACCAGTTTCTGTATCCGAGCTATTGCCGCTCCAAGTTTAAGATGAACTTAAGTAGGATCCTTGCAACTATCTATTCAAGTATCTGTAATATATATATATTTTAATTAATTGCCAGTACATAACATACAGACAGACATAACCACACCATGCAGGAACAACAACATCAGCAAACAAAACCATAAACAAAGAATAAAAGACAGACAAACCTACAGTCAGCTGGACTAGAAAAACAAAAAAGCAAAAAAAAACACCTTGATCGTGGATAATATTTATAGGTTACATGGGCATATCTATCTTTCCATTATCTATTCACTTTCTACCCATGTATAGAGTCACAAGAGTCCATCTCCTTATAGACAAAGGCAGTTTCAACTGTAAACTAGCGGTCATATTTTCCATAATTTGGACATTTAATTTTCTGTATCCGTTCAGATATTGTGGCGAGGTCAGGCTGCATCCAGTGGATGGTTATCATTTTCCTAGCAGTCATCAAGAGGATATGTAGTATATAACGTTGGTTTTTGGTCAAATTTTGTCCTGCCATGTTGTCCAATAAGAACAACACAGGGTCCAAAGGTAAATTAATACCCATCATGGTTTACAGTTCGTTTTTTATTTTTCTCCAGAATGTCTGTATTTTGGGGCAATCCCAGAATATATGGGTATGGTCCCCAACCATCCCACATTCTCTCCAACACTTATTACTACATTTGTTATAAAAAACACAGACTCTTAAAGGGGTCCCAAAAAACCTAATCTTTAATTTCCAGTCCAATTCCTTCCACAGTTGGCTCCCAATACCCGTACAACATTCAGAGTATATATCCTCCCAGTCGTCATCCTCTGTAGTGACATTGAGCTCCATTTCCCGTTCTCCTTTAATATGTAGAGTGTTATCAGATGTGTCCGCCATTAGCTTTTTATAGACGAGACACACTTGATGTGTACCTGTAATATTAAACTGAAGAAATGTCCATGCCTGAGTAGCACAATTGCAGTTATAGTGGTATATTTAGATATCATAGAAATAAACCAGACATACTGTGAAAGGTTTAATAATTTGTACATTTCACCTGAGTCATTGGTTGCTATGCTCCGTTTCTCCCTTATGATGTCTTAAGGATTGTTTTGTAGGCTTTGTGGTTTCCTTTAATGAAGGTTTTGATCAGAAAATAAATTTGTGGCATGGACGTGAAAAACATTTTTTCAACTCACTTCATTTGTGTGGCCACACGTCGTTTTTGCTCCCTCTAACCACGACTGTGTGCTGGTTCCCCTACAGATGGTACCATGGTTCCCTTTCCCGATCAGAGGCGGAATCGCTGCTCACCTTGTGTAAGGAGTGTAGCTACCTGGTGAGGAACAGTCAGACAAACCGCTCCGAGTACTCCCTGTCTTTACGGTAAGAGACACACCAATTAACAACAGTCGGCCCCTTAACCCTTTAAAGCCTGATCCAAGAAAACTTGGAAGAATATTGTATTTTTTTTTTGTCTGAAGTCTTTCTTTGGCCCCTCAACAACATATGAAGAAAAAAAGCTGAAATTATTTTGATCAAATTAGCGTGCAATAAGTCAAAAATATATTTTTGTGTAGTCTACTTGCTGTTATCAGGTAAATTTGAATGTGTACAACAGGGGTTTGAGCAAAGCTTTTACCATTGAATGATGCAAAAAGTCTCAGATCCAAAAGACTTCAGAAACCGTATGTATCAAATATGATACATTTGGCATTATAGGGTTAAGCACCGTGTTCATAGTCAATCTCACACATCTCTTATACACACACACACACAGGAGTGTGTATAAAATGTCTGTGTGGAGTCGCACAGGCCTCTCATCTCATATTGCAGTCTTCCACACCCCTCCATCTGCACCTCCCTCGTCACCCATCCGCCAAACTCACAGCTGCACAGATTCCTCTCCCGGTGCTCCACGTGCAGGGGTGCGAATTCTGCTTATCCGGGCAAATCTCTCCCCTTGTAATTACTATCACGATCCTCACCCAACTCTCCCGTCCTCGCGCCGTTCTCGGACTCTCTCTTTCTCCCGTGGCCCCCGCGGGCCCATCTAAGTGACAATCAGGCAGGTAGAGCACACTTCAGTGCGCACATCATCCTCCCCATAATCGCTAATGAATATGAATTACCCTCTGTTGGACACCCAAGAAGGGAATTAGGCAGAGGGAGTGGGGAGAGGGGGAGTGAGGGGAAGGGGAAGGGGAGGGGGGGAGTCGCGGTGTTCTGCTGACATATAAACAAACTCATGCATTACTCATTTACGTGAGTAAAGTTGGCTCCGTGCACGCACGCACATTCGTTTGAGCATCAAGGTCAGAGCCGGAATGGATTCCCAGGCTATCAGGATTTGAAAAAGGGGAATGCATCCCTCCTCAAAATATCATTACACCTTCTGGTTACACCATTTAATTTGGTAGAACCTACTAAATGAATGTCATAAGACATTTTAAGGAAGCCGAAGCTCAAAAGGTTCAGAGAAATGGTGGTTTCAAACCTACATAGAAAGAGAAATATTCAGAGAAATATTACATGCTTCAGATTACTGCTGTATAACTTGCTACACATCATTTCCCAATGGGCTTAAGTCTTTTTTCCTCCAAATTTCCCATAGTTTATTGAACAACGGCTATTGTGGTGACACGTTTGAGCCCTTGTCTTTTTCCTTTGCGGCTATAATTAGACGCACATCATGAATGGCTGGCTTGCTCTTAAAGGGGAAGTCCTTTCACGGCTGCTTGAATTTTAAAGGGTGGTGCATCTCTCTCTCGGAAAAAAAGCCGCCCCCACGCTCTTTTCCTTCTCGCTCAGACTCTTTTTCTTTTTATATGTTAGTACACCACTCATCCATCCATCACAACATCCCCTCCCGCTTTGTGCCATGGTGGCACGAACAGTTGGTGAGAGCCTTGTCCCTTAAGTGGAAAAGAAGTGAACATAAATCAAGACTGTCACTCAGTGTCAGCGTGTGACAAAATGTGTGGAAGGCTGTGCAATGGTTTATGTGGCCTACATTTCATATCATCCCTCTTTTTGCCCTCAAACTTTCCTTTTTTTTTTACGTATTTCGCTCTATTCTTATGTCTCCATACTCAACCCATTTTTTTCCCCATGTTCTTTGTCCCGCAGGAGCTGCCAGGGTTTCATGCACATAAAATTTGCGCTTTCTAAAGATGGCAAGTACGTGCTCGGACAGAACAGCCCCCCCTTTGACACCATCCCAGAAGTCATCCACTTTTACACCACGCACAAACTCCCAATCCGGGGTGCCGAACACCTGTCCCTGCTGTACCCCGTGCAGGTGCAGACACTCTGACTCAAATCCGTTTTTTTTTTTTATTTGTCTTTTTTTTTTTTTTCTTCTGGACCTCCAACATTTTGATCAGACTCCGTGGACATGAATGTTAAACTGTGTCTTTTCCGCCGAGAAAGCGACGGGCTTTTTCTCGTGTTTTTTTGACTGAATGGTTTCCGATCAACCGTCACTGTAGCTGCATCTGTGCCAACTGTCTTTTTACATATCGGGGATTCGGACTTGGACTTCGGGCGCCTTTACTTGTCTCCCGTCTCTCATCTCCGGGCTCAACCGAGTCCGGTTCCTTCAGAACATCTCAAACACTCGACCTCATTGACTTTTCTTTCAGAGTGGACGGGATATTTCGCAGTTGCTGGAAGAAAATCTGAATGTAAATGGTGAAGGGACTGTACTTTATTTAGCGTTTTTCTAATCTAACTGACCACTCGGAGCACTTTTGTACTACGCTACATTCACCCTTTGTCCCCATTTTAATGTTTCTCCAGTTCAAAAGCGACAAACAGAAGGTTGGGATTAAATTATTGCTGTTCCATTTAAACTGCTTAACACTGGTTTAGACAATAATTTTGCTGTTGTTAGGTGGAAACCTTGAAAATCTGACTGTGCTGCGTTATCATGCTTTATAATAGTCAAGAAACTTAATTTGACGTTGTAAAGATGAGAAATTTGTATGAAATCACTGCCAAAAAAAAGGGCCACAAATACAAAGTTGTTACCAACATCAGTTATATTTGAGAATTTTTGTTAAATATAAACATCTTTCTACACAAAACAGTATTTCTCCTCTCATTTAATTTGATTTTCTGCTGTTTTTGGGATTGTTGGATGCATTAATGGGTTACATGTTGATTGTTCATCACAACCAAACAAAGAGGTTGTGTTGTATTGGTTTGTGTCGGCTTTTCTCTTATTGCCTGCCTGTGTTTCGTCTGGTTTTTCCAAACCTGTCACTGCTGTTAATGTCTCATGACTGACTTAAAGAGGAGATAGACTTGGCAACTGAGCTGTGGTCTATCTAATAGGCGAAAAAAAAAAGTTCGAACTTCACTAATATTGCCCACGCTCTCGTACATTTTCTCACTTCCTACAGATTTTCAGCCAGCCAGCACATCCCATGTTGGTTACTGAATTGCATCTGAGTTTAAACCTTGCCATCTGGAATAAGTGAAAATGTCTGCAGCTTGGTTGCAGGGTTTTTCTTTTTTTACGGTTAAAAATACATTTCTAAGCACAATTGGAAACGGTAAGAACATTGGAAACAAGTAGGGAAAGTCAATTAAAGTTTTCCTTTGTACAGCTAATGTCCATAAAAATTCAAATAAATTGTGAAGTCTATGATGACCTGCTTTGTTTTGGTGCTGTTGGTTATTCATGTCTATATCAAATTTTGATTCTGTCACTTTTTCTTGACTTGACAAAAAGTTTTTAAAAAATGGGATGTGTGATATACATATTAAATAATAATGATAAACAAAAATGTCAAAATTGTAGTTTTCATGGCAATCCATCAGTTAGTAATTAAGATAGTGAAATGAATCTGGATAAATAGATAGATTGACACTTTGAAACAGATAAAAAGGTTTTGAAACGACACGAAGCTAATTGCATGAACGTGCTGGAAGTGAATTCCTAATTTCTTTGACGTTCAGGATTTTTTTATTATCGGGCCAATTATCTGCAGTTTGAGAGTTCTGTTAGTTAGAAAACTTGATCTGCAAGGCATAATGACTATAAGATAATACAAATTCATACATTTACAGGGTTAGTGATAGATAGATAGATAGATAGATAGATAGAGTGGAGGAAATAAGTATTTAACCCCCTGCTGATTTTGCAGGTTTGCCCACTTACAAAGAATACTTATTTTTCCTCATCAGATGGTTATCAATTTTTATAAATTGGTATGATGTGATTTTCTGGAATTTTTGGGGGGATTCTGTCTTTCACTGTTAGAATGTACATATGATTAAAATAGTTGATCGTTGCATTCTTTGTAAGTGGGCAAACCTGCAAAATCAGCAAGGGGTCAAATACCTATTTCCCCCACTATAGATAGATAGATAGATAGATAGATAGATAGATAGATAGATAGATAGATAGATAGATAGATAGATAGATAGATAGATAGATAGATAGATAGATGGATAGATAGATAGATAGATGAAGGGTCAGGGCATGTTCTTCCTGAAGTCCACCCCCTTCTCCTCCACTTCCTTCTTCACATTAGGAGGCTTGTGGTTGTCCTCACTCCACTCTCAGAAGCGACTGACCAGGTCTCAGTTCTCGGCCTCCTCCCACTCACTACTCCTCCCCCCATGGCTGTGTCATCAGAGAATTTCTGCCGACGACACGGCCGAGAGCAGTACTCGGAGTCAGCAGGGTACGTGGTGGAAATTAAGATGTTTAGTCCAGTTCCCTGGAGGCGCCTAATGTTGCTGATCAGGCGGACGATCGGACACAAATAATGACCCCTCCTTCCTCATCTGTGATGGTCTGGATGTCCAAGATGGTTGAAGGGGGTTCTAGCCATTCCTCTGCACTCAGGTTGCTTCCATAAATTCTCCATTTTACGAAAGTTTATACTTGTTTTGCTTGTTTTGTCTTTGGTTCGCCAATTCTGACATATGTAGGCTCTCCAACAAAGTTGGGGTCCAAAATTAGCCCATAGGACTCTTTCTGTTTTGGGGTTGAAGGGTTCTTTATTTTTCACCAAACAAAAGCCTACGGGATTTAATTCATTTTTTAACTTAAGCTACCTGTTTATCCAGTGTTAAAAAAGTGTTAAAAAGGCGTCTGAAAGATTCTGTTGCCTGAAAAAGTTGATTTTTTTCTTGACGATTCAAACCAAGAATGGTTAGCAATGCTGCTAACCACCACAGCACTGTAACACATGGCCAGTATCTGGACATACCCAGGCACAAAAGTGTGTAGCCTAATGTACAGTATTTGAACCAATATTTCCTAGACTGATCAGGTTGACTTTTTAATTTAATTGTATTTTTACTCTAAAGACTCAAAAAGATTGAAAGTGGCCCAAACTCTTCGTTAGGAATGCTTGTATAAGACTTCCTGATTTACGTCGTATGTAAATGAACTGCTTTGATTTTAGATTTCTTCATTTGTAAATTGCTCGAAAAGAAAAAAAATACCAAATAACCATTCATCTCTGACATATTGAGTGCCGAAAGACAATATGAACATCGGGTTTTTCTTAATAGTTTCATTCAATAAATCTTTCATTCACAGATAATTTATGTGTAAATAACTTTGGGTTAGTTGTATATTTGAATCAAAATCTATAATCTAAATATTTTGTTCATTTTCAGCGTCTGCTTTAAGGACATTTCTGTTGATTTTATCTTCCTTTCACTAACCAATAACACGATTATTCAGGTCAGATACATTAAATGCCGATAACCACTAATGTAGGGGAACAAATACTTTCATTGTACATTTGTTTTCTCAAGGAAACACTTCAAAATCGAGCATTACTGATCAGATTGTATACAAAAGACTCCTCCTCGCAGGAAGGAAAATAGGCACAAAGGACTTGGCAAGATTTTATGCCTCACACACTGAAACACACGCGCTCGCACATTTTGCTTTCCTTCATCCATTACGGCGTGGTTGGAAGGAAGAGGGTGAGGACTGGGGGGTGAAGTGTGGCTGAGGGGGGGGTGAAGCAGCCCCTCATTATTTGGGCTGCGCTGCTGTGAAAAGCTCTGGGATTGCTTTCATTACAGAAGCAAATGAAATAGCTGAGGCTGATTACCCGCTTGACGGAAAGGAGACGAGCTGGATAACTCTGTTAGGGGTGGAGGGTGGGGGGGGGGGGCTTGGGGGGGGGGGCGAGGGGTGAGACGAGGGGGGAGGAGGAGACTGGAGTTGGGAAGGAGACGATGTCTGGCTTTACTTCCCCAAAAAGACTCCAAACAAATGTGCGTGTGGGTGCTTGTGAGGGTAGAGTAGAGTGAGATGGTGACATGGAAAAGGGGGGGTTTGTATAGGCCCGCTTTTTAAACAGGCCTCCCTGGGGAGGGATATGAATAATAATGACATCGGCAGTGCAGCATGTAAAAATCAAACAAGTATATGCTTGTGTTCCTCAGGCTTTTGTCTGGTTTTTCAGCATTTCTCCGTCTGCTCATTTACGCTCGGTGTATTTTTATGACCACCTTTATTGTCGTTTGGATAAAATTACGGCACCGACCCGTTAAAAATGTATTTTTTGCATTATGTTGTGTCACATTTGAACCGTGTGTGTCCCACTCTGTGCGGTTGTGTGTCTGCAGCTATCAGATCAGTCTGTGGACGATTACGCGCTGACAGCAGCTGTTAATCCATCAGATAAGCTCTCAGGAATGAACACCTGTGATCACCGCGGAGCCAGACAGCATTTTGGGGAAACCAGATGACATGTACACATGCAGCCCTGACACACCCACATTTGAATGATCGCATTCACATTCTGGGGACACCAGGCGTCTCTGTACAGGGCTTGACAAAGAATGAAGTGGTGGTTGAGGAAAATGTACAGATCGGATTGAGGATGATGCTTTGAATGCCTGTTTGCTCAAAAGAAATGAGGTTTTATTGATAAGAATTGGAGGGGTTTTTCTGTGTTCACTGCGAAAGCGCATTGAACAAGCTCTCTGAGTGAGAAACCATTCAGATTTCCCAAAATTGACATCATCATCATAATTTTGAAGCTGGATATTGTCACTTTCCATTACTTGGAAAACAAACAAAAAACAGCATCACCGCACACTCATATATTAAGCTAACATTTTCTGTAAAATGACCAAAACGAGGAAAATAAAATTGAAGAACTGTTGACTATTGATTATATTATTTGTTAGACAAAGGGCACATCTGCTCATTTAACATGCCATTCCAATAAAATCTTCTAATTAGAAAGGAGAATGGCCAGAATCAAAGTATGAGAAATAGAGGTGCTTTAACTTCTAGTTTTGTGTGCCGTTAAGTTATCTTTTACCACA